CAGGCGTTCCGGGCCGAGGACACTTAGGGGCGGGCGGGGCACAGAGGTGACGCTGGCTGGGTGCTCGGCTCGCGCCAATGAGCTGCGCCCGCCTCGAGGACCGCCGTCACTTGCAAAGTGTGTGCAAGATGAACTCTTTGCTTCCAAGTTGTGCGCTTGCATTATTGGTTTTCAATTCATGTGACGTCAAATTGTTTAACTTGTAAAACCTCGGTAAAACCTGTTGCGATGTCGTTTCGACGTGACTCAGCCGGGCCAAGAATGGTTAAGTTCCAAAGCGCGTTCCAAAGTCACATGAACAATAATGTGACAGGGTAGCATCCGAAAGAATGTGACACTCTTCACATGCATCACGTCACATGCATATTAATTAGTGTGCTATTTGTTCAACTCCCTATATAGCCGAGTTGCTCGCCTGCCGTATTGGTGCTCTCTGCCGCAGCCGTGCTCCCACTCTATGCCCTCCATGCGCTGTTCGAGATGGAGAAAAAAAAAGTTTCCTCTCGAACTACGTATACTTCTCTTTCCGCATCGCCGAACGCATGCCGGCTGCGGCGCGTACGGAGCACACGCGTGATCTCGATCACAAAGGACCCAGGCACCTGGAAGGCACATTGTTCCCCGCGATAGGCTGCACTCGCGCAAGAATGATCCTGATGAGGTCCACGATGGGATCGACAGAAAGAAAAAGCCTCGCATATGGAAACGGTAGAAAACTAAGTAATAATGATATGACTGGACTGAAAATTCCAACCAGACAGCTCTTTGTGCGGGGGAAAAGAATAATTACACGTAATAAACTATTTCAATGAAAAGTTGTTGAAAAACAATCTCTCTACCACTTTGCGAATTCGAGCGCCTGCTGATACTCTTTTTTGCGCACGGGGCTCGGCGCGTGGTTTTTCTTTAGAAACGCCATTATTTGTGAGCATTAATTATGTCATGTAAAAAAATTATTTACAATGTGGTGTATGGCTGCTATCCCACATTGTGTCCAACGCACAAAGTGAAGCGTCTGTAAGTGTGTGTGTGTATATGTGTGAGTGCGTGCAAGTGTAACTGCGTGCGAGTGTGTGACACGGGCCGAGACGACACCGCGCTCACGCCGCAGGCACCCTGGCCATGACATGCTATTGCCACTTGCACCGGCGGTCACCATTGTCAGTGGTGCACCCCACC